AAAGTTCAAGTATCTCGGAATTGTATTTACTAATGATGGAAAACTGGAAGGAAAGATCGACTGGCGAATTGGAGTAGCCAGTGGCGTTCTGCGTGAACTAGCCCAAACCACTGTGACTAAAGCAGAGCTCGGTCTGAAAACAAAACTCTCGGTGTTCAAGTTGATCTATATTTCCATGCTTACATATGCTCATGAGTCGTGGAGCATGACCGCAAAGCTTTGAACCGGGGTACAAAAATGGGCTTCCTTTTCGAGTCGCTGGCCTTACGCGTCTCGATTTGGTCCGGAATACTGATATCCGGAAGAGCCCTGGTATACAGCCTTTGCTTCTCCAGATGGAGAAGTCGCAGCTGCGATGGCTTGGGCACGTGTTGCGAATGCCTCCAGAAAAGAAGGCTAAGCAAATGTTCCTCGCAAACCCTACCGGCAGAAGGCCCAGGGGACGGCCAAGATTAACCTTGTGCAAATATATGGAAGGAGTCTGTTCCAGACTCGATTTATCTTTGCCCGAAGCTCGGACCCTGGCACAGGATCGGGGACGTTGGAAGCTCTGTCTGAAGCGCCTGCCTCCGCGACCCGAAAGGAGAAGCGGCGGGAACATGAAGATGTATCTGACTAAAATATTCAAGGCTTGTGATAAAATTTAATTTTTTAAGTCCATACTGCTTTGTAATTGCTCCCAGTCAAAGGCTGAATGGCATATTTATAAACACCCTTTTCGGCAGTTCAGGCACGGATTCGAGCTGATCATAAAGATCTGAACGCACATGTAACTTGTTCTTTTACCTGATTGACGATGTGCAATAAAATGGCTATAGCTGTCTTGCTCATAGTTCCATTTGATTGTTTTACTCAGTGCTTTTTATATATTTAATACTTGATTTTCTTTGGCTTGTGCTAAAAAACAAGACACTTTAGTTATATCGTTCAAGTGGAAGCTTCCACTTTCACCATCAACCCTGCCCTATGGTCATCGTATTTTTCGGTTAATCGCAATAGCCGCCAGTTCATAACCTGAATAAAAGATGAAAGAAAATAACTAAGAACACTTACAACCAAGTATGTATAAGGTTCATGCATCTCAAAGTCAAGATTATCATATTCTTCGTCGTCCTGGTTTATGTAACGCGCCAGCAAATCGATCGGTTTCGCTGAAAAACGCTAATAAGTTATGAAAATCACGCAAAAAACAAGAGAAGCTTACCCCGCCCTTCTTGTATTCTAATTTGGCTGCGCAACCTCGCCTGCTCCAGGTGAAACCTGTCTTCCTGTTTCGACCATTCTACGAACTGTTGGTTCTCTCTGTCTCTCTGCATCATTTCCCATTCAGCCTTCTGCGCTTCGCGCTCCTGTCTCATTTGGCGAATTTTTTCCAACTCTCTCTGTAGAGAAAATTTGGGTTAAGCCGTCACTATATACATTCACTCAGAACTCACTTTGTTCTTCTCCAATTTCTCCCGGCTGATGCTACAAATTTTACGCGCATCCAAGTCCGCCAGTCCGTCTTTCACTAACTTCTTTTGCCATGAAAACGGCTGTGTCAAGTTACTGTCCCCAAACGGGTTGTCTGCATTACTATAACCCTAAACAGCAATAACAGCCATTACCATTTATAAAATGCCACAAAGGGCAATTTAAACTTAAAATAAAAAAAGTGCATCCCTCTAGCTATTCAGATCGTAGATAGGCGAATTTCTGCTACGAATGCAATCTGCGAGGCAGCATCTGGTTGCCCCCGAACCACTCGGTTACGCGGATAGGCTCTGCTGTATCAAATTATGCCAGAAACGGAAGGCAGAACAATGGGTTCCACTACAGTCGAGCTTAATAAAATTTATGCCATATTTGGTGAAGCAGAAAAGTAAACTCCGTAGCCACTAGGATGTTGATCGCTATTACTTCTCCGCTCGACACTACGAAGGACAGATCTGCACACCCTTTCACCAAGGATGATGCCTTTCTTCAGCGATGGAGGCAGTACTTTGAGGAACTCCTTAATTCCTTGCAACCGCAGGAAGACTCGCCTGTAGAGCAGAAGGGTACAGATATTACTATCTCTGTCGATGAAGTTACACAAGCTGTGAAAAGCCTGAAAAATGGAAAAGCTGCTGTAATTGATGAAATTCGCCCTGAGATGATCAACGCATTAGGCGAACAAGGCATATGCTGGCTTACACGTGCCTGTTTAACTGCGACGACTGAAAGAAAAACATCAGCGGATTGGAGAACGGGAGATACTGTACTCGGTTTCAAGAAGGGAGAACACAAGGGATGCTCCAATTATAGGGGAATTACGTTAATGGGTCTCCCAGGTAAAGTCTACATAAAGGTGCTAAAAAGGAGGTTCCACGAAATAACTGACCTCAAGATACAAGAACAGCAGTGTGGCTTCCGGCCCGGTCGAAGCACCTCTGACCATCTATTTGACCTGCGCCAGATTGTTGTTAAATAGTGGGAGTAGGCCCGTCCGGTGTACATGATTTTTGTTAAACTAGAAAAAACCTTTGACCAGATTCCACGCAATAGCTTGTGGTCATGCCTTCGAGCTTATGGGATAGATGGTCAGCTGCTAAGGACCATCCAATCACTGTATTCTGATAGCAGGTGCAGCGTCAGTGTAAATGGCGTTAAGTCGAAACCTTTCAACGCCGGCACTGGTCTTCGCCAAGGCTGCGTCCTGTTTCCTCTCCTGCTTATGTTGCACACGGATAGATTAGTCAGAACCAGCCAAGGCGATGAGTACATTGATGATGAAGATATGACGACGAGAAAGTTGCTGTTTGCAGACGACCTTGTTTTATTAGCATCTTTTGAAACTGATCTCCAGTGCTCCTTAGAAAGGTTCGCAGCCGAGTGCGACGTCATCGGCATGCGTGTGAATTCATCTAAAACAAAAAGCCTAGTGCTTTCTCGTTTTCCTGCCCGTTGCTCTCTTCAGATTAACGGAGAGGCAGTAGAGCAGGAGGAGAAGTTCAGGTACCTCGGAACTGTATTTAGTAGTGATGGAAAATTGGAGGAAAAAATAGACCGGCGAATTGGAGTAGCCAGTGGCGTTCTGCGTGAACTAGCCCGATCCGCTATGACTAAATCAGAGCTCAGTCTGAAAACTAAGCTCTCGGTGTTCAGGTCGATCTATATCTCCATGCTTACATACGCCCATGAGTCGTGGAGCATGACCGCAAAGCTTCGAACCCGGGTAAAAATGGGCTTTCTTTTCGAGTCGCTGGCCTTAACCGTCTCGATCTGGTCCGGAATACTGACATTCGGAAGAGCCTTGATGTACAGCCTCTGCTTCTCCAGATTAAAAAGTCACAGCTGCGATGGTTTGGTCATGTGTTGCGAATGCCTCTAGAAAGGAAGGCTAAGTACCTGTTTCTTGCGAAACACCGACCGGCAGAATGCCCAGGGGACGGCAAAGATTAACCTGGTGCAAACATATGGACGGAGTTTGTTCCAGATTCCAGTTGTCTTCTGCCGAATCTATTACTCAGGCCGAGGATCGGGAACTTTTGAAGCTCTGTCTGACGCTTCTGCCCCTGCGGCCCGAAAGGAGAAGCGGTGATGGAAGATGAAGATGAAGAAGAGGAAGATTTCAGATTTATTAACCATAAGAAATATGTAACCTCGCTGGCTTTCGGCTAGCCTAACACTGAGACAACTTAGCTGTTCCTGATGTTGTGAAATGATTTGCGACAGTTCGCTTGGAAGGAAAACATGAAGGCTTTTCATGTCTATTCCTAGGAAACCGTAAACCTGTAAAGCAGCACAGAAGAAATAATCAGCGCTACAGTAATGCACTGGAACGAGAGAATGCTAGAATTCGAGGCATGCTATGAGAAACGCGTTCATGGCGGAGGTAAGGAGAATCAGGCACCGGAGCATTTCGGGTAATCAATGCACCAAAAACTGTCATATGTTCTTGAAATAGTGGACACGTAGAATAGTTGAATTAGCAATGAATTTAAATCAGATATAGATTTAAATGTTTGACCGCCGGTATAAGACTCTCGGTGCGAGAAGAATCTCGAGCAGTTCTTTACCATAATAAACCCAGAAAACCATCGGCATCGGCAAATGAACAACTACAAATATCGCAGGACAAGTGTGGTTTAATAAATCTGAGTGCCTACTTTAGAACGGTGGCTAAAATACGGAAATAGAAAAGGCTCTTGTCGTTTTCTCTTGCAAACAAAGATTAGGATTTATGACGTATTATCAAATTAGGAGGTCGTAAACGGCAATAATTTGGAAACTGTGAGTCAAAAGGTGAAGCAGGCATGCCGCCCTCTGGAACAAAACACTTCTAAATCGAATTCGCGCGCAAATGAAGAACGTTAGCGCACATACCAGGCACTCTTCGCCCCATCCCAGCTCCTGCTTTCGCCTCTGCTCCTTCGCCAGTTTCTTCGCCAGTCGTCGGGCTCGTTTTTCTTCTGGAGTTTCAAGTAACTTCATCAGGATTTTTTGTTTCCTCCGAGACTCGGCGTCATCCACCATCTTGCCAGCTCCGCTGGTCATTTTTGTCCGGCTTCCGTCAGCGACATCTTTCTTGTGATGACCCTTAGGTTTGGTATGCTTACGATGATGGTGGTGGCTATGATGGACTTCATTCATAATTCTAAACTGAAAACGCATCTGTCACAAGCACCAGAAATTGGATACAGTTTAATACGCAACTCGTACAACTCGTTCAGGAACAAGAAACGAATCATGTCGAGAAAAGTATAGAGAAAAATCATAAACTGAAAAATCTTTTCATTCCTTTTGTGAGTTTCTACGTTTATGGCGAGATTGCCGTTATCTAAACGCCGCTCTTAAAAAGCTTGCACTTGGTTTCCACACTAGTGGTCAAGTCCGGGATCTGATCAAACTGTCGAGCGATGTTGTTTGCAACTTTCGCTCTCGTATTCGCCGGACATTTATCATTCAATTCTCTGGTTGCTTCTGCCACAAGATCATCGCCTGAAACTCCATTTCTCACGGTGTGTCGTTCCAACAACAAGGTGGTGAATGGTTGACAGTTTTACGCCTCTCTTAACACGAGCATCGATAGATTATCAAGTGAATCATCGACTTCTGTGGCCAGGCTTCCCTGTACCAGGGACACTGATGTACGCTTCTATGCTCGAAGAAACTGTTCATAATAGACAGTCCGCTGTGTGCCATTATTGTTGAGGTCGTAAGGGCCGTTATTTTCAATCACGCCTTTCCTTTTCAAAGTGTCTGCTCCAACAAGTGCACTGAAGTCGCCCATTAGAATGAGAGACTCCGTAGTCGGCACTTTGCACAGAATACATTCCACTTCATCTAAATAGGACTCATATTCTCCCTCCAAAATGGACGTATAGTCCTCTGTAACGAAGTCAACAAAACCTGTGGTAGCTTCAGTTGGAGGATCGCTACTCCTCCGCTGCCAGACTTCCATTCAAAGATTCTATCAGCCAGATTGAGTTCTAGCTAACACCAACACCAGCCTGGCCGCGCTTCGTGTTGTCTACACCTGAGTAGAACAGCTTCCATCCGCAGAGATTCAGGATTCCAAAGCTTTGGAGCTTTGCTGACGAGAGTCCAACTATGTCGAGTTGGTACCTTGCGGCCTCATCAAGTAAGACACTAACATACGCAAGTACATAAAATACTTCACCCAGAACTATTACAGTTTTTCACAAATCCATGTGCTGCTCTATAAACACAGACGGTTTTCAAGGATGTAAATAAATCTTCGATTATAACGCATCTTCCAAAAAGATATCTGCCCATAAACAACATAAAAACTTACAAAAAGAAACCCAACCTGGAGAAAGGATCACAAACCTACAAAAAAAGAAAAGATATGTTAAGCTGTTCGTACCCCGAGTAAGTCAAACAGCGAATGACTCCTTTCATGAGTACATTTCACAGCGTGTTGCATCAACCCTTTGCTGTCTAGAGGTGGAGCATTTAAACAGACCACGGTTCTATGGTATTTGAGCACCTCGCATCGGTTTAAACGTTAGAGCCACATCGCGGACGTCTGCAGAGCAGGTAATACTCAAATGCAGCAGCCTAAAGATCATAAATTGTTCTTACGCCCCATTATGTCAAATAAAGAATGTTTCCTCCAAGACCAGAGTTCAAAGCTTATTGCAAACTGATAATATATGCATCTGGCATTGCAGGTGGTCAAATGCCATGAAGCCGTCGCCGGCTCAAAATGGCGCCCTAAGTAACTGCGAACAATGGGGCTGTAAAATCTGACGTGAAATACGGTGTTGGAGTAGTCATTCGTTATTCAAAAAGGCAAGATTTTGCAACCGAAAGGATAAGCGCCTCGCTTACAATCAATGATAGGCGAAACGTGAGATACCGTTCATTCAGTAAAACTATAATACGGCGCTGATCATCGTTTCAAGCCACACTCAACAGCAGTTTTGAATGCAAAACTTATAAATAGACGAATACCACAAACTAAAACCGAACCTGCAAATCTGAATTTTCGATCTATGGGGCATAGTGACACAGTGGCTGAGGTCGGTTTTGAACTCCACACAGCGGACTCAAATTATTTCAAGGGGCAACCTTTGTCTTAACTTCGAATTTCCTGAGTAAGGAACTAATCCAAAGTTGTTTCGGCGCAGCTAGCCGAAAAATGTGTCGCAAGTCGGTAACTTACTAATAACAGGAACATTTCACTTTTGTCTGGTCATATCAGAATGGACCAGGCGTACAGCCATGCTCTTTCACCCTAGCGCCGTTAGCGGCTGCTCCTCGCCTTGACCTACCTGATAACACACTACCCAGCGCAACAATCAGCATAAGGTGTAACCTCCAACTCGATCTTGTCGAAATAAGTTCGGTCATTTACGCAGAAAATCCGAAAATCCGTTGTACGCCAAGTAAAAAATAAGTGCTCGCGCAGGCAGTTTTTATTAATAGCACGAAAACATGGCACGGCTAAACCAACAGCGCAGCGCTAATTCACATAAAAGTCTGTGTCTATCTTCTATGGAATCGGCCCATCTGCTCAAACGTTTTAGCATTAATTCAACATTTGTCAAAAACAATTCGAATTTCACTTACAAATTAATTCGATAATGCATGAAGTTTACAAGTAACTTTTTCAATTTTTTCCGCTCGGCAGTCAATAAATACTTACGCTGGAACTCCTGTATTGATGATCATAAAGTAAAGCTACGATCAATATATTTTATGCAATTATGAAAATGCACATCAAAAGATATCTATGCTTTAAATTAGATTTATTATCTGAGTGCCTCCTTCGAGACAAGATTTCACGCCACATTACACTTCCATCTAGCTAATAATTTCCTATGGCAGGTATTTAAATATCTTGTGGCAGCAGAGTATTTGAGCAACTGTAGTGTCCCATGCATCTCGCATCATTTAGTCCGCTAAAACCAAGTGGAGCTCAGCATACGATGTTTCAGGAGCTGGTTCTTCTGATATGCAACAGTACGAATATCATGGGTTGTTCCTACGCCAAATTATGTCAAATAGCAAATGACTCATTTAAAACGAAAGGGAGAGAGCAATGACGCATTTGGTTTATTGGTCGTTTGCACGCCTGACGGCGAGTTTCAACGTGGCACGTGGCAATTTTTTCATACTGCCTGCTAATTTACCTCCATTGTACTTCGATTCAAACAGCAGACAAAATGGTGGCACGTAGTTAATTTGAGAATGATACGCATATAATGGTGCTTTAGTATGGTCATGCCAGAGCGTGCGTGACATATGCTATACTGTCTGATGTGGGAGCTCTATAGCTGCATTCGCCTAGACTCACCTGATAGCTGACGTACCTTGTGCAAACGAAAATTTTAATGTTGAAAAGGCCCCAAGTTGCGCAGCAGTACGCCATGAAATTCACCAAAAGTAATAATTGCTACCTCTGAAATTCGGTCTTTGACAATTTCATGATAAGTTCTTTTTCTGAAGTTAATGGATGAACATTTATCTCCACTTCCATGTCATTGGCCACTAGTTTTTTATTCTATAGGCAAAGTCGACAGCAGCAATTTGAAAAGCATGAGGTGCAGTTTCCTGTTTTTTTCGCGCATAGATGAACTCATTTATCAACATGGGACGAAGAAAGGAGATTAGCCAGAACCGATAGACCAATTTCGCCAGGATAATGACGGTGGAACTGCTGATTTGTTCAAACTGTAATTTCATATGTTTGTTTTTACTTGATTTTTCATCAGCTACTTTCATAACTTGAAACCATGCACCATTTTTTTCATCGTAGGTTGTGATAACTATTCCTACCCTCAGTTACCTTTGTTAACACCAAAATTTTCCAAATGCTGGACGTTCTTTCCAACGAGAAATTCATTCGTCTAATCTAAAAAAATGCAGTATTTCTCATTAATAGGACATGAAGCTGACCTTAAGAGAACGTAGGAAAACAGGCGTAGTTAAACGGATTTTACTAATCGAATCACCGTAATTGGCGTACGGAATCTGCAAGACTTGATCATCGACGTGATGGCAGATGTATTCTGTAACTTTGCTGATAACCGATGCATTGGGCGGTTCATGTGATAATTAGGCGATTAGTTGACTGTATGTTAGTCTTTGCTGTTGCTGATATGTGGAGTTATACCTAAAAATTTTTACGGTTTCTCAGAAAGAGATTTTTTTCTGATAAATGATAATGAAGCCGGTGGTCGACATACTGCAATTCTACCTGTTGCTTAGGCGACAAATAGACTTGATTCCACGCAGCCGATTTCTCGTTGCCGAGTACAAAACCGGACCAATAAGGATCTGTAATAGCAATTTTGCCTGAAAAGTAGTATCACATTTTGGCTTGATTTCCACGGAATTTGCTTTCGCATCCCATCATATCGGCGTTGCGTCGGCGTCCCTTCAGAATCATGTAACTTAAAATCCTGATGTTGTCTTTTTGGTCAGAGCTGGATAGAGTTTATAAATTTTTATAATACTTCAAAAGGCATTTATCGCTTCAGGCATAAATTTCGAACGATTAATTAGCCAGACTTACAAGGCGGGTTATTAGACAGGTTTTACTGTACGTCAGTTGGCTCTCAGTTTTGTGTTAGGACTTTTCTAATGTTCTCTCCATTGCTTCGTCGTAGCTTTAATGCAGATAGGGCACTCGAAGCAGGTTAATTGCGAATAACACCCCATTGAACTTGAATACCTTACTTGATCAAAACTGATCGGGTACTCATTTCATAGCTCTGTGTATTCATGTGATCATCACCTTAAGCCGTGTTCATAAGTAAAACGTTTGGTTTGCGATGTCCGCTGTACTTGCTGCTTGCTATATGACATCGGCTACTGCATCGTAGAAGGTCAGTTCTTCTCCGAAAACAAATCTGCTTGTACCTTGTTACTCTAGTTTGCATGCCTGCCCAGGTGTTCGACGTCTGCCGTGATTAGCTTCCCACATGAAAACTCGTGGGCTGGAATAAATGGTTTATGCTTAACCACTTTGTCTAATAGGGCCAAGCTCTTTCCAGTCTCCACATCTACCAATATCACCTAGGCCC